CGGTATTCTGTGAGATCATGGTACCACCCCGGTTTGAGCCAGCCCATACGTGCAACAGCAAAGCTGCCGCGTGGCTCTACTGTCCTACTGTCTCTACTTCACTGCTTGTTTAATCCACAGGCACACAACATATTCGTACCTTGCTGAACAAAACGCGTAAGCAACGCTTTTTTGGCGGCGTTTACGACTTTTTTCTTGCGAGCAATGAGCTATAATCTAAAATGCTATCTCATTTTCTCCCGCGTTAAATCTTATGAATTTATATGTCTGTCTCCTTTTACTGTCGCTTTTTCGTTTCCCAGACTTTCAAATCACAACGATGCAAAAGAAGTTTTCACTTCAAAAAGGTAAGTATGAATTATTTATCTCGCACACCTCTTTTATCATGCCGTAAGATACTAACGGAACTAAATGTAATTTCAACACACCTTTTATTTTAGCGTTACTTCTACGCTTTAGTTTTTTTTTTGTTCTGAGCTAGAAAACATACTCTCTTCCTTCTTGAATCTTAATTTATAATGAAATATACAATTTTGATGTAGTACTGGCAAGAACGTTACGGGGATCTAAAATGTGATTAATGTACTCTTTGGTTTCTATAGTCTTTGGATTTATTATGCAAAAGTGATTAGACAATCTGACAACAAAAATGTCGTTCAAATCTTACATTTCGTTAATAGATTTATCTAAGCAACTACCGTTTGAAATTGGCAAGTACCTATTTTCTAACTACATTTTGTTTACCGGTAGCGCATAGATGCTCATACTTAAGATTTCTTACTACAGTCCCTATACAACAATATATTGGCTTATAAATCATGACATAACATAGCTGTATAGGTGTATATACTACTTCATAGAGCAACACGGGTCACCGGTGGCTCGTATTGCTCTGTGAAAAGAGGTACACCCATATTTTACAAGTGCACATAACAATTGTAAGTAATTGCGCCACACCTAGCGCAGAATTAGTAAGTCGGACTTTTGACTCCTCACATCGCAGAAGCTCTCCTTTTGTCGGTTACGCTTAAAGAATTAGGCGAATAATTCTCAAACTTTCTGACGTCATTAGAATTTCTTGTCAATATAGTATAATTATCTAGTCGGCATAGAATTTTATTATGCCGATTCGATAATTTATTTAAAATACAATACTCTATGAATAATATATGTTTCACACACAGATCATAAAACTTTATCATAAAATCCAGTTTAACCCTCAGAAGACACAAGTTTGCGCGTTAACCGCTAAAAAGAACCCCTTTGTCGTATTTCCTCAGTTTCAAGGCACTCCCCTTGTGGCCTCAGCCAGTATCGGAATTCTCGGCGTCGACATATCGAGTGAGGTGCAGTTTCGTGGTCACTTGGAAGAGAAGGTCAAATTGGCCTCTAAAAAGCTTGGCGTGCTCGGCAGAGTGGGACAGTATTTCATGCCGGAACACCGCCTGCAACTTTACAAGGCGCAGGTTCGGCCGCACATAGAATACTGTTCCCATCTCTGGGCTGCAAATCCCCGGTACCAGCTCCTTCCATTTGACCGCATCCAGCGCATAGCGGCTCGAATCGTCGACGACCGAGTGCTTTCCGATCGGCTCGATTCACAGGCGCTGCGAAGAGATGTTACCACCGGCGATTTTTCCGGACCAATACGACTTGGGGACCTTCAAGAAAAGAGCTTACTCCTTTCTAAAGGGCCGGCAACGCACCTGCAATCCCCCTGGTGTTGCGGTTGGTCATGGGCGGCGGTAGCAACTCAACATCAGGAGAGCCGCATGCTCGTTTGCCCCCTCTTCTATAAAAAAAACTCACAGGAGGGATATTTTTAAAAGTTGTCAAGCTTGATAGGCACATTGCAAATATTCTGTTATTCACTGTTCATATCAGATCGATGCTACTGCCGGTCTCCAGCTTTTGTTTCCCTCTGTTAACTCTTTCAACACCCACGGTATGATATGGGGACATGTTGTAAAATATAGCTCCCCCCAAGGATGTCTCAAAACACGGACCTGCAGGTGGCTGCATCTATCGACTTAGTGGGGTCTCCCCTACACTTCACTTACCGCTACGAGTTTGAAAAGAATACGAAAAGATGTCCAGCCGACTTGGACCCTTTAAATGGCCCTACTTACCGACCTACTTAACTACCTACATAATACTTACCTACTTTTAGGATGTTAAGCTGGATTTATCGTATAGAACAATTTGTCCTCGGTAAAAATACTCTTCAATAACTAGATCTTATTATTTTTAACAACTACCAGCATGGGTGCGTCCCCGTTTGTAAGACATTAATGAGATCATTAAGTCGATACCGTATTCTTTCAAGCTACTGGTGCTTGAAAACGTCTTCCTGTGCAGCAGTAAAGAGTTTCAGGAATATAGCGTCACTCTATGTTACTCCTCTCAAGAGTTAAATAGATTTCGTAATTTAGAATTATAATCGGATAGCTATCGTAGCCTTACTGTAAAAACATTTCTGCACTTCAATATAACGCCTGGCACCGTCGAAGGGAATGTAACATCGCCCAAATTTTATCGGAATTAAAGGTTAAAGTTTGTCTTTTACACAATTTGGCGAAGCGTATGAATTGGGAGGGGGCTTTATTCTGGCTGAATGATAATAATGTATGTGGCCTATGGTAATAAAGCCTTTACGGAAAACGATTAGTTTGGTAGTGCAGAGTTAATAAATAGTAAAAGCATATTTACGTGGTAGAGCCATGCTGCAGTTATATTAGTAGTATAATTGTAGCACGAATGGGTCGGTTCGACCGGGGAAGGACCACGCTCTCACAGAATACCAGCGTGAAGTAGTAGCTTAATGCTGCTGTATTTCGTATGATGAGTGTAGAGAACCGGAGACCCTTTTTACTGGAAATGAGGCATTCCATCTCAGTCCTCATGGGTGACAACGCATTTGCATTTTGACTTGTAATGGAAGACAGATGTAGATGTCTATGGGCCGCAGCAACCACTTACCATCAGGTGGACTGTGTGCTCGTTTGTCACCCTATTCTATAAAAAAAAGCAGACTTCAAACAACTAAAAAATTAAAATGATTTCCCATTTTGAAGTCGGTAGTAAGACTGACTGAGCTAAGACTGAATGATATTCAACATAATTTGTCAAAATTAACTAAAATAAGTTATTGCAACAAATATTTGTGCGAAGAAATAGTTAATATTGCTAAACCTAGGATTTTAAATATGGCCTTTTGAAACGAATTTTCCGCCATGGTTTGGTCGCCGTAGTCTAATCCGTCAAACCACCGGGAGTATTACGTGTGGCGATGGACAAGTTTTGATATTAAATCTAAACGCGCATGCACACGCATTTATACACCCTTACAATATACACTCGTTTATATATTATTAAATATCTTCCAAAAATATATGGAAGTTGTACCGCAGCCAAATCTGCCGGAAAAATATCATAAAAAAATCATGTGCTTTTTATCACTTTTAATGTCTGTTTAATCATTTTATAAAAAGCTAACACATTAGATTAGACCCTATAGTATATTAGATTAGAAAGTAAATATTGAAATTGAAACTATGGTCAGGGTAATAATACAGGACACAGCTGTTGATGTCGTTTAATACGCATTTTGTAGGGTCCTTATGTGACTGAGACCATTGTTGAGATAGAAACTGAAACTTTTCCATTTATTTTAACTATGGTGAATCTAATCCAGCTGCGTTGCGTAGTTGCAAATAGTTTAATTAATTATTCGTGAGATAATTTAATGAATATATTATTAATTTATTAATTTATTAGGATTAGACGGCTAGCCGGCTACAATTAGGTGCAACTGATAGTGATTGGTTAACACGAGCAGTATGTACTTGCGAAGGTATTGATGATGCCAGAAGAAATAATACGCCTAAATTGACCTGAGTTTATTTAGACTGTCGGGTAAATCCCAAATAATTTATATATTAAATAAATATGTGCCCCCTGGCCGTACCTTATCTTAATAACATAACATAAATACTCACGCCTGTTACCCAGAGGGGTAGGCAGAGACTACGGACTTCCATTTGGCACGACCCTGACATACCTCTTTCGCCTCCTTTACATCCATATATCTACGCATACATGCTCGTCGGTTAAGGGTACTTCTAATGTGGCCCATTTTCAAAATATCGCCAATTTGGTCGATAAACTTTCTTCTAGGGCGTCCCTTCTTGACTCTGCCGTTCACATCTGCCATATAAATTTTTTTCTTCACTCTTTCCTCATTCTTTCTTTCTACATGACCAAACCACCAAAGTATTACTTTCTTAACTTTAACATCCTTCATATTACTTGATAAGTAATGGTTTTTAATATGTTGATCGTATTTTTGACAAAGTTTCTGAAGTCAACGTTATTTTACATATTATTCGAACTCTACAAGACTTGTTTTAGCCAAAAGCAACCGTTAAATCTACTTTTTGTCGTGAATAAATTAAATGGGTACACCTAAGCTCAACTATCTAAAAAAGTATATTTGTAGTTGTGGCCGCCAAAATCCTATTAGCCAGATGTATAAAATATATTATTTCTCTTAATGAATCATTCTTCACTTTATTAAAACTATTTGGGTACCTATGACTTTTTTATATTTCGGTATATTTTGAAGTAAGTATTAAGTATGAGAGCCGTGGTAGCTCAGATGGTTAACGCTCGCTGTAAATATAACAGAACGCGAGTAATCCGGGTTCGATCCCCGCCGGCACCAATGAAATTGTTAATTGCAAGTTTAAGTGCTGTTTTACCACGTGCTCGGCGGTGAAGGAAAACATCGTGGGGAAACCTGCATGTCTAAGGAATAAAAAAAATATTTCGAAGACATGTGAAGTTCGCCAACACGCATTGGGGCTGCGCGGCGGACACTTTTTTGCCCTAAAACCCTCTCAGAAATGAGGGGAGGATTCTTGTAAGGACAAGGAGTCTCTCTGGTTATCGTTACATAGGCACTCACTTCACACAGGATTACGCATAGAGAGGAAATCAATATGTTTTTTTTACCGACATTTATGGGGGTGTCGTGTGTTTTAACTAATGGTTTGTAATGATAATGATGAATCTTCTTAAAATGCAATAAAATAAAAACTGGTAATAGGCGAGAAGGTTCTTTTTATCAGCTCATAAATACAAGCTCCACAGCTGAATATCAAGGATATGGATTTCTGCCATATTACGGAAAATTTGTCATAATCGCCACCGTTGGTGGGCGAATTGGTGATCGCAGTACAGGAAATTGAATATACGTTGTACAGCCATGCTGCACCTATAATATGGTTACTCTGTGGTCGGTTCAACTGATCAATCAGTTCAAACTAGGACTGTTGATATTTTTTAAAATATCGGATTTTCGATATATTGATAAATGAACATATATATAAAACTCCGATATTGACATATTTATAATTATCGACATATCGAAAATCCGATATTTAAAAAAATATCGACAGTCGTAGTTTGAACTGATCAGTTGGAATGATCAGTTGAACCGACCGTGTGTGTCGTCCATAAGACTGACGTCAAAAATCACTACCTATGCCATGCTGCATTTATATTGCATATACAATACACTATACAATGCATTTATATTTAGTACATATACAATGCATTTATATTAATTGTATAGTTGTAGCACGAATGGGTCGGCTCGACCGGGGAAGGACCACGCTCTCACAGAATACCAGCGTCAAAGAGCAGCTTAATGCTGTTGTGTTTCGTATGGTGAGTGTAGAGAACCGGATACCCTTTTTACTGGAAAAGAGGCATTCTATCTTATTCCTCAAGGCTGACAACGCATCTGCATTTTGATTCGCAAACGAGGATAGATGTAGATGTCTATGGGCCACAGCAATCACTTACCATCATGTGGACTGGGAGCTCGCTTGTCACATTTTTCCTATTAAAAAATTATTAAAAAACACCTAACTCTGCAGTAATCACTGCTCATCATTTGCGACATTTAATTTTTGTATTCTGTCTGTATTTATTTAGGTAATTTTACGTATATTTGCCTATTTATTATTATGTATGTCTATTATATTTTTTATTGTATATATTAGTGTATAAAATATTTTGTTACTATGTAATGGTTTATTTTATTTATGTATTAGTATATTAGTTTGTTATAATATACACCATCTCCCACTATCCAATAGTACAATTTCTTTTTTTTTATAGAAGAGGGGGGCAAACGAGCATGCGGCTCACCTGATGTTAAGTGACTATCGCCGCCCATGATCAACCCCTGTTGGGGTTCCCTGCACCTGCAATTCCCCTGGTGTTCCAGGGGAATTGCAGGTGCGTTGCCGGCCCTTTAGAAAGGAGTAAGCTATTTTCTTGAAGGCCCCAGGTCGTATCGGTCCGGAAAAATTGCCGGTGGTAAAATATTCTACAGAGAGGTCCTACGCGAAAGAAAACATCTTGTGAAACATACAGTGGTGGACCGCCAAGCATCCAGATGGTGTGAATGGTATCGGGACGTTTTCCGCGTAGTGCGTTCACGAAATTTGGCGGCTGGGATTAATCCAAACAATTCCTCAGAGCACTCCCCGTGACAGATGCTATAAAATACGCAAAGAGATTCAACATCTCTTCGCAGCGCCAGTGAATCGAGCCGATCGGAAAGCACTCGGTCGTCGACGATTCGAGCCGCTCTGTGCTGGATGCGGTCAATTTTCTATTAATCTTAAGTTTTTCGGGAAGAGATCGCTTTTTAGCGACAAAACCGCCTTATTGTACCTACCTCTTAAGTATAACTTTCTGTAATCTGTTTTTTATCGTTTTGTGGTGTACATTATAGTATATATAATAACTATAGTAGAAGCACGAACGGGTCGGCTAGACCGGGGAAAGACCACGATCTCAAAGAATACTAGCGTAAAATAGCAGCTTAATGCTGATGTTTCGTACGGTAAATAAGGGTTTCACTTTAATGTCTGGGATTTAATTCCACGAAAGATCCCACGGTGCAATAGCCAAGTTATTCTGAGAGTAACGGACCCCGCGATCGTCAATCATTATAATGATAATAAGCAGAATAATATATTATTTTTGCGTTATTTTAGATGACACTTTGAAGAAGCAATTATGTTTTGGAGAATCATTAATAATAAGCTGTGGGCACGTCGATGGCAATTTAGATGAAATTTTTTCTGATTCTCAGTGTTCTACTCTCGATTCTTCTCACACTGAAGAACATGAAAACGTTGAGCTCAACGAAACTCTTGACGTGAAGACGGTGAAAAAGCAAATCGACGAAAATATTACAGAAGAAAATGTTGACGACGATGATAACTTTTATTTTTATTTTTTCCCAGATTGTGCAAAGCCTATTCAGCCCGAAAGTAGTAATAATAGTCTTATTATTAAAGATGGTATGCCTAAAATTAACCCCACAAAACAAAATACTAAGTACTGCACTTGTGAGGTTGATAAAAACGGTCAATGTAAATGTTTTCTCAAAATCCCATGCTTATGTGGCCCTAAAGAAATTAGGGAATGTACGTGCTCTAAGCTAGATGGTGTATGCATATGCAATGACAGTGAACCAGCACCAGTATGTACTTGTAATGAGGCTGAAGTATGTATGTGTGATCCAGATGGCAAACCTCGTGTGGTTTGTTCTTGTGATAAGATGAGTGAAACTTGTATCTGTCATGTGGATAAAGGTTTAGACCCTAATTGTAATTGTAAACAGAAAATAAAGAGTGATTTAACATCAGAGATCCATCAAGAATTTGAAAGTGGGCGCCTCAACGAACTAGAAAATTCCGGTGTGGAGAAAGCAAAACTAGATTATACTCGCATACCATGTGAATGCGAAAAGTCAGAAAAACAAGTTGTATGTCAATGTCTTAAAGGTAAAACTTGTACGTGCAAGCAAGATGTATGCGTATGTAAACAAGAAAATATAACATGTGCGTGTGAAGCAATTAACGGAGAAGTTGTACGTGATAACATCAATCCTAAATCTCCTTGTAACTGTCTGAATACTGAAGAGTGTACATGCAGTTCTAATTTAGAAATAATTTGTCAGTGTTTTCCTACAAATAAAGTTTGTTGTTGTAAAAATCCAGAGAAATGTAAATGTTTTCAGACTTGTCAATGTACTGATCCTTGTATATGTGATAATGAAGTTGACAACCATAATGAATGTACTTGTTACACGGAATCTACCGAAATAAATCAAAAAGGAAAAAGAGTGAAAAAATTAAAGAAAGTTAGGGCTGGCAAACATGGTTTTCGGTGGTGTCATGATGTTAATCCACGGCATACTTACTTTGGTTACGGGTATGGAAGACATGACAAAATAAGTTATAAAGAAAAAACAAAGGAAAAAATTGAAATTTTAAGGAAAAATAATGAAACAGTCGTAGAAGTGAGTGATGTTGAAAATTTTGAAATACCAATTTATCAGAAAAAGGTTTCAAAACTATCAATCGATTGTTGTAGTGCTGTTGGAGGTTATTATTGGGATTTCAAAATCAGATTTTATTAAATACGTTTAATTTTTGCCTTTAATATGCTTTAAACTGTCTTAGGTTTAACAATAAATGTTGAGACTTTAGGAGAGGACAAAGATAAATTTCTTGTTCAAGTAGTGTCTCATTCATCTAAAGATGGAGCCAAGACAGGGACTAAAATTGTAAGCATCTTAGACTGTAACCTTCATACATTGGAAGAAAATAGATCTGAGTAAGTGAACCGTCTGCACTTGATTTGACAACTGAAATATGCGATTTTATAAAAAAAAGTTTATTAATATCCAAATTAAAAAATCAATTTAAGAAATACCTTAAATTGATATTTTGATTTGATGAATTGGATTTTTTAATTTTGATAAATATGTGTTGACAGAATATGATATTTGTAGATATATTCAGAAGGGAGATAAGTTTAAAGAGAAGCGAAATTATATGGCAATTTGTGAAAGCGGTTACTACAATAAAGTCACTCATATATGTGGGGACCGCCATTTAATAAAGCGGTTGTATCATACCTTTGAAGAAGCTCATAACTTTTTGTTGGAAGGAGCTGATATCGTACTTATGCGTTATGTGGGTCTCACTCGTTATAAAGGTTGTATTAAAACAGACACTGTTCTTATCAATGGAATTGTATGTGAAAGTATTTTTGTAAGTACCGCTAATGTTGTATTTTAACGTTACTACAGTAAAATTTCTTATTAGACTAACGATTAAAAATAGTTCAGGGTAAATACTATTCGATTAGATGGAGAATATTGGGAAATATTTAATAAGTGGTAGAGCCATGATGCCATGATGTAGCACGAATGAGTCGACTCAACTGGGAAAGGACTACGCTCTTACAGAATACCAGCGTAAAATAGTAGTGTAATGCTGCTGTGTTTCATAGGGTGAATGTAGAGAACAGGAGACCATCTTTACTGGAAATGAGGTATTCCATCTTAGTTCTCAAGAGTGGCAACGCATCTACATATTGTTTCTTAATCGAGGATAGATGTAGTGATGTTTGTGGGCCACAGCATCCACTTACAGGACAGTTTGCTAGTTTGTCACTTATATTCTATAAAAAATATTTAATGCCTTTCTTGTTAACTACCTTACCGCGTAGATTGCTGAAAAAAGTATAATATGGATTTATTGAACTTTACATTTTTCTTCATCATCTCAGGGACGGTCAAGTTAAATTTTAATGTGGAAATGTAAATTTATACATTGGTTAACACCGTTCTAGGCAGTAAAGGAAACTGTTGTAAGTAGGTTTCACTTGATATTTTAGTATGATCTTTCTCCTACGGAAAAAGCTACGTTGGTAAACACTGGTTTCTCGCTATTTTAAAAACTGTTCTTAAAATAGCGGAGGTATACAAATATTCAAAGTGGGCGAACGTTTATATTAGATGTTATATTTATATTGCTTTATATTTTAGGTCTGTTTAGGCGTCAGTCAAGCGATTGTTAACGGTCAACCATTGTTCGTGGAAAAGGTAGAGCGTCATATAATAGAACCATCTGGCTGTATTCACCAATCTCTATCCGTTCTGACCCTAAAGGGTAAGTTGGTATTTTATAAACCGAATTATCTGTATTTTTGAATAACCGAAATATAAAGGAATAATAATATGAAAAGAGCCATTCCGTTCCCTTTCCATTTTATGTTAAAAGGTTACGTCGTGAGCCAAGAGTGGGCGGATAATAGTTATATTATACATATAAATCCATTGTTACGGGTTTTTCCCGAGGAAAACGAAATTGAACCTCACGTACCACTTCGCGAATCTTGGCGTAAAGACTTACAATTGTTATCGGACTACTTAGACTTCAAGGTATTTAATTTATCTTACTTTTATATTTTTACTCGATATTATCATAAATTGAATTTAACGCGTATAGCGTAACATTATTTATGTGGAAAACCTAATGTTCTCGTCAGTATCATCATCATAACAACTTTTCACAAGTCCGCTGCTGAACGCAGTCCTTTCTCAAGGAATGCCACAAAGTATGGACGGTAAGCACGTTGGCAAGTACCCGCTGTCTGAACTTTAACTTCGCCTGTCTGGGTAGATTTCACGATACGGCTTAAACGTGAATCTATCTGAAGCCATTTCCACAAAAAGAATAATATTTTCTGGCATTTCCGAGTAAGTAATGTAAGCCCATTTTTTAAATATATTTTTGTGTTTTTATTAATGAGATTAGGCTTATTGATAATAAGGAGATGTTAGACCAAGGCCGCTATAACGTAATCAATGGATATTTGATTCATAGAAATTTGAGAAAATTATGACCGTTTAGTTTGTACTTGTGGTATTAATTGATCTGGTAACATTCTGACGAGAGTCGTTGCATGCAATGTGCACATTTCACAAGAATTTGTATCTTCTACCATAAATTAATCGAGTAAAGTTTTGTGAATCCCTTTTTCAAAGCGCCGACCTACTAAAAGTCTGATCCAAATACGTCAACTTCTGTTACCACTCTTTTTGGACACTTTTTTTTTTACCAAAGTAATAACAGTGAAAAGCTAAAGCTGCATAAAAAATATGATGTCGTCTATCTTAAGTAAATGGGTGCGTTTGGCAGAAAAAAGCGTTAGCAAGCGCTTGTAAGCAAAATGGCGATCGTAAGCGGTAAGCGCTGTCAAATCGTAAGTAGCTATTTTCCTCCAGGACACGATGTTAGTTTTAACCTGGGAATCTAACCTAATTTAAATATATGTTTGTAAAGTATTCATATTAAAAACTTACCAATCATGAGTTTTTAATAGCATGTATATGTTTATTCATGTCATTATATTACTTAAAACTAATATTGCACAAAACAACTTATATAAACTCTACTTCAAAACAAACAAATTAAATAAGCAAAATGGCGGATTGTGTCAGCGCTACTGAAGTAGCAATCGTGTCCTGGCCGAAAACTATTTTAGCGCTTATAAGCGCTTGCTAGCGCTTTTTTCTGCCAAACGCACCCAATATGATGATTCTACGATCACTGAATACTAGGTGGTGGGATTCCTTTCACAGCGAGCGCTAAGCCCCTGAGCTACCACCACGAACCACAGTAAATTTTACAGTACGCGGGCAAATCGAGCTAGATCCACGCAAGCAATAATGAAACTGTTAATTGAAATTTTAAGTGCTGCTTTTTCACGTGCTCGGCGGTGATAGAAAATATCGCAAGGAAACTAAAAATAATCCAAAAAAAATTGGAAGACTCGTGAATTTCGCCAACGCGCATTGGGGCAGTGCAGCGGACAATTCCTTGCCCTAAAACCTCTCAGAAGTCAGAGGAGGCCTGTGCCCAGCAGTGGGATGTATATAAGCTTTATTCTTTTTTTCTTTATAAAACGTTACTTCCACACTAGGATTTTCTCCTGTATCGTGGGGGCAGTTTACAAACATAAATTTCACAAGGACACACATCCAGACCCGGAACAAATACTTGTAGGCCATACAAATACTTGTTCCGTGCGGGATTCGAACCCGCGGCCCTTAGCGCTGTAACTCATAGCTAAGCCACTGCGCCACGGAGCCGTCATCAAACGGTAACTTTACTTTTAACTTTAGGACTCCTTTCCTGCCTACGAGTCCATCTAGATGAGTACAAACCTCTTACCTATTACTGCCTCCAAATGGTAATGCTTTCACTGCTGTGTTTTAGTCTGAAGTGTATAGAGAACCAGTATTACAATCTGGTATTCAGAAGCACGTGTTTTTGCTTGAAGTCGGCTGCAGGTGTTCATGAACTGCATTAGATACTTACCATCAGGTGGACTGTAGGTTCAATTGCCACATCAGTTTAAAAAGATTGAATTGAAAATTTCAATGAAGACAATTATATGATAAGCAGTCTAAGTAATATTTGAAGGTTGTGGTACCTTGCATCTATTTTGTAGGCTACTCGATCATCGGAAGGTGCTCGTTACGTGTCTGAGAACGGTGAACTCACTGGAATCATACGTGATTATCTACAAACTGTGCTGTTACTACGTCCAAACGACGTGTTGCATTTTACAAGACACTACTTTGGCGCTGCACTATCGGCTCTTGATTTACCCCACAACGAATTTTTTGATTCGCCCGCTAAACATGTAAGATATTTTTACTTTGAAGAATAGTAAAAACTTTTACTGAAACTGTGATTGGCGTAGCAAGGATTGCTGACACTGAGACTGGAATGAATGGAACTGGAATATATAAAATTACAGATATCTAATAGTACTTTCGAATTATTTAAAATGAATAAAATAATAAAATGTATTGACCCTTGGCAAGTATGTGTGGGTGTGCAGATTATCTCAATTTTAATATTTTGATCAAAAGTATTCAGAGAGGTATTTTTCAGAGTTTTGAAATTTTTAATCCCATAACTTAAAAGATAAGACTTGAGTTTGACCTTTGTCGGGGGTTAAGGGCTGGTAGTACTCTTGCTACGTCACTGCTTTGGAAATTATACATTTAATAAAAAGAAATTTTTCTTAATTACATAACAAATTGATGATAATATTTTATTTTATAAGAAAAATAAAAATAGCAAAAGATAAATTTCTTTCATTTATCGATAAAATTTATTTTAGAATAACATAATATAGTTGCGTTATCTAATAAATAAAAATGTTTTTTTTATATATTATTCTAAGTCAGTTCTTAACAGTAATCCAACGAGATGGTAAGTGGTGATGTAGCCTAAGATATTGAAACGCACTGACTTAACAAAAGCCTATTCACTCTTGCCTTGAAGACACTCACATTGTAATCGGATGGAAACATAGATGTTGGTAACTTACGAGTATTCCACTCTTTTGCTGTACGCGTGACGAACGATGTAGGAACCGTTTGGTTCGAATGAGTGGTAAATCAACAACGAAAGGGTGGATGGAGACTGGCCGAACGTCTGATTGTTCCGATGGTGGAAAGGAGAGGGAGAAATTGAATTACGCAATTCCTGCGCACACTCTCCGAAATGTATATATGTAGAAAACCCAAAGGCTGGCTACTTTGCGTCCTGTGTTCGATTCTGGTAAGATTGGTTTTAACCAAATTCCGGTCACCAATATGCCTCTTAGCACACCTTTTCATTGAGTTTAAAGCTGCTAAGTGGCATTTTGCAGCACCAGCCACCAAATATGACAGCAATAGGATCATGCACGGACTTGCGCTTTATATAAAGTAAGCAGCTGTTATGGCGTGAAGTATCACCGCACCTTAGCAAGGACTCCTAGCTTCCTTGCAGCTGCTTTGGCCTTGGAGTCAATGAACTGCCCGAAGTACAGATTTGAGGATATCTCAACCCCTAACACTAAAGGTGGTTGGTGTATTCCAGTGATACATTTCTTTTTGCAGTGAAGAGACACGCTTGTGTTTTGGAGGCGTTGAATTTCACATGATTGGCATCACCCCATTCGGAGACAATATGTAGTGTGAGATTCACATGCTGTAACATAGCTTCTCTTTTGGACTGGATTTGATTCCGACTAGCCTGAAGACTTGGTTGGTATTTCTCCGCAATTGTGCTATTGTCTGCATACCCGTAGATACCGGGCATAAGCAGATCATTGATATACAGCAGGAAGAGACGACGAAAAGAGTAGGGTGTATGTTTCATGATTGTGCAGGTTTTCACACCTATACAAGCAACCCCAAAATATATGAATTATGATATTTTTGCCTGGGGTGTAACTGTGTAGTTTAACTGTGCAAGCAAAACTGAGTATGTGTGGCGGTCGCCTACGCAAGCGTCGGTTGTGGAATGTTGTGGCAAGCCAGAATATTTAAGACTTTTGTATATTTTCCCTGTTTCAAGGTATCTTAACGTCACTTTTGGCCTTTTTATGAGGTTATAGAATTTCTCAATACCGCTGATAACAGTTTGAGATACGTCTTTTTATTCATTTGCACTAGTCTTTTCGCTTTGCTTAAAGGTCTTTACTCGTTTCGTGTGACAGGTCGTCCACTCACCTTTGAAATGGTCGAGGAGGGTGATGGCTTCCACATACTTGTGTACAGGTGCTGCTTGTCGGGACTGGTCTACTTGAGTTCGCAACACACTTATTAGCTTTAGTTTTGCTTTTTTTCCTATGTAATTTTATTATAGAATATTCACTGATTACCTATCAGTCTATTCTATATTTATGATCAAGTATATTGTACCATTGGCCTTTAAAAAATGATAACAATAAGGGTATGTTCATGCGCAGATTTTTTCGCCGTTTAATAGTGAATTAAAGACTTGTTGAAGTTTAAATTTTAATGTCTTACATCGAAAAATAAAGAGTTTTAATTTCATTTCAACTGTTACTGCCATAGACATAGCATATATACTGTCGTAGTAATTGCTAACGCGCTTGCTAAGTGTGGCTATAGTAAAGTGAAGAATTTTTGACCTTGAACAAAATTAAACGCTTTAAGGGCTGATGAAGTGCAGATTAGAGAAATATTATGAAAATTATGTTAAATATGTAAGCAAAGTTAATTTGTTTAGTTCACATTTAATTCACATGTACATTCATCGGTAACTCAGTGGCCACGCGTTTCGTTTCAATACTGCGGGCCGCGGGTTCGAATCGAGCACGATGAAGTTATTTGTATTGCTTCAAATAATTGTTCTGTGTCAATCAAATCAATTACGTTTATACATGTGTAATTTATGTTTGTATGGTGAGTGTAGAGAACCTGAGACCCCTTTGTACTGGAAACGAAGCATTCCATCTTAGTCCTCAGGGTTTTTTTTGATTCTTAATCGAGGATACATGTCTATAGGCCACTGCATCTACTTAGCATCAGGACTTTGTGATTATTTGTCACCCTTATTCTATAAAATAAAAAATGTATAAAAGTACAAAAAGGAACAAAATAGTGCGACACGGTCCGAGGCGGGCTTCTACCGGACTTGCACGTTGTATTTTTTTATAACTATTGAGTGCGTTTTCTTCGTATGGTATAAAAAGTGATTAGTTTTATTCAAGTTTCACATACAACTACTCAAAATTGCTTCTACTCACATAGAAATGAGAAAAAAAAACGATCTCCGCAAGAGATCTTATGATGAACGTACTTCATACTCTCCAAACAGTACTCTTTTTGTGTACGTATCATATATCCAGTTTTTTTGGTACGTTTAGTTTCTCCTTTTGCCTTGTCTTTAATAATAGAAGAAATTCTTCAAGACTGTCGAACATCGTTATAGTGCTTGATATAAAATAACGATAATAGACCTTAAAATCCCGGGACTTTTGTGTGGAACGGGAATGCATTCGCTCCCTGTAGACCCCTTTTCCCGCTTTGCCCTTTCTGCAATGGATGAGCTAATGAGAAAATTCCGAAATATACCGAAATAATCTTGGCGCAACGTCAGCTAGATAGAAAACTATAGAAGTTGGTGTTCGATGACTAGCAGTTTAGATCCATTGCCAAGGTGCCACAATTTTATCATGAGAAGCCAAGTGAGAGACTGTGTTCAAGACATGCATTTTTGTTATTCAAAACAACTTATCGTAAAATTATAAATTACTACAATTCTCAATAAAAGTATTTTGAACGACAATTGACAAATCCTAGGGTTAAACTTTAAAAGGAAAATTATTACATTTGGGTACGGCATGTTTTCCCACAGTCAGCTTTATGTAGCTTGCTTACGTGTTTAAAAGGCCCAAAATATGCACATTTTCGGTAAGTGAAACAAATAATTTAATGTAGTCTAGTACCTGGACTCACGTCGTAGGGTCATGTGAGTTAGAATACTAAATAACAAAAAATTAAAATCACTTGAAGATATTGTAGGATTCGAAATCGCACACGCCGGCTCAGTAGCCCTACGATCTAATAGACTATTAGCAAGATTACATATGGAACATTATGATAAATAATAATCAGTTAAAAGTAAATACAAGGTGGCATTAAATTAGAAGAGTGAAGTAGGCAAACCAACAGCAATACTGCTTATCGGAATGTAATACAAGGCAGTTTCTGCGTAATATAATCTTCTTTACATTTACTAAAAGAATTACCACAACAGGCATAATTACGACAGTGATTATGACTCGTAAAATGACTGTGACTGTCCTGAACGACTGATCCCCGACTGATCTTGAATAACTGATTCCTTTTAGTCGCCTACGTGGTTTATACCGCTAGAAAGAGATTGCAGTTCTACCCTCACTTGCTTGTATTTTTTAAATTTTCTATCCTCACTCCTAACACGGCCTATTCTAACAATTCATACGAGGGAAACTGCAGTAAATATAAATACTAAATAACTATAACTAAATTTCTAGTCTCGGGATTTTATGACATAAAACAAAAAAATCTCTTTCCATTAATCTCTACTATGTGTATTCTGCTTTTTAAATAATCATAGAAATGATTTAATTCATAAGCTGTTAAAGAGAAAAGTTTAAATACTTCAGACCCTTGTTGACTTTATGTGGAAAGATAAAAATTTCGTCAGCTTTCAATTAAAACCGAGCGGAGCTACGGATAAAAGCTAGTTATTTATGAATGTGGAATTGATTTTGGATAGTTAAATGACTTAATTATTGTAAATTGATTGAGTCGGTCAGTGAATTACAATCGTCAAGTAGTAGAGTCATGCTACAGCTATATTATGGTTTGCAGCAAAAATACTCTGGCTCGACCGGGGAAGGATCACTCTCTAACAGAGTACCGGCATAAAGTAGCAGCTTAATACTGCAGTGTTTCGTACAGTGAGTGTAGACAACCGAAGACTTTATACTGGTAATGAGCTAATGAGTTTTCATCCCTGAGGAATAAGACGGAATGCCTTTTCCAGAAAAAAAAGAGTCTCCGGTTCTCTACACTTACCATACGAAGCACATCAGCATTAAGCTGCTATTTCACGCTGGTATTCTGTGAGAGTGTCCCCGCGAGCGACCCCGGTTGAGCCGACCCATTCGTGCTGAAACGATGTTCTACCAATTAGAAAACATATCTTATCACTAATATTACGAAAGAAAGAGATCAGAGAAATACATCTATAAGAGTAAGAAGGGTAGAGATAGCCGGTGTTAGAATTAGCACCGGTTCCGTACATTTTCTACTATGAAAGTTGCGCCAGCCTGTTTTTTTTTATAGAATAAGGGTGACAAACGAGCACATAATC